TTTGAAAAGTTTCATTAATTTTAAAATAATTAGGATTATTTCTATTTGGTTCTACAATAAGAAGATAATGATGATTACATAATTGATGTTGATTTGGTATAAGATGAGAATATTCTAATATAGTTAAAGTTCCACTTTTTTGAGCTTTTTTTGCTGCAAGTTCAGTAAAGTTACGAAAATTTAAAGTTTTATATTGACAATTTTTAATTGCACATGGACCAAAATTTTTTTTTGATGGCGACATTGTTATAAAAATCAAATTAAAAAATTTTAAAATTATATAAAATTATAATTTAAAAAAAATGGAAAATAGGTTATATTTATAATTTTTATTGTAATAATATAATAAATATTACAAAAATATTAACTATTATTACACAAAATTATTATTATCCGACAAAATAAAACTCATGCAGAAATAGTTACATTGTTGATGCAAATCTTACTTAAAATAATAACTAACTCTAATTAAATATAGATCTGCATCAAAAAAATTCTAATCTTCATATATATTTTACTCTTTTATATTATTATTATATTAAATATATAATTTTAAATAATACTTATAAATAATTTATTAATATTAATTAAAAAATTTTATTAAAAAAAAATACTCTTTAAAAACATTAATTTATAATAACTCTGATCAAAATGTAGCAATAAAATTTCCCACACAGCAATAAATTTGCCCACGGTTTCAAGAGTGACCAATAAAATAAGTAAAAAAAAAATATATATATATAGTTAACAAAAAAAAAAAAAAGAGATGGGGTCCTGTAGCCTAGTGGTCTAGGCGCCCCTTCCTCCACAGACAAGGTCGATGGTTCAATTCCAGCTGGAGGCAACTCTGTAATCTACAGAAGCATATGAATGTATGCAAAGCCCTGTGGCTAAGTCCATGTGATTAAAAGATCGGTATATAAGGAAGTTCCCGGAAAAAAGATTTCTGATATGGAGAGTTGGCACTTGATGCGAGAGAAGCAGTGAACATACCAGAAATAGAGAGAAGGCACACTAGTGGGTAATACAGTGAACATAAAAGGAAACTATAAAAAAGAAATAGACTTACTAAAATTCAAACACTTCTGGCACCAAACTGGTTCTAGTAGATATGTGATATACTAAAATTGGATAAATCTAAGGGGTAATCTTGGTACCATACTTAGTAAGTTTGCATTGAGGGTAAATTCGAAAGGACTATAGATACTTAGTAACATCCAATGTGGTGGGATTTAGATATAAATAGTAATTAGATAGCCCTAACCTGTTCTGTCATAAACATAGTAGTATACATTGTGTATATATGCAGTTAAGTGTTAAAAATCAGAAAGTTTAAATAGAGGACTCACAGGTGGGTTTCAGGTATGGCATCTAGTAGGTAACCTATAGGTGGAACCCTTAATTAGATAATAACTAAAGTTATACGTGTAACTAGTTGTACTTTCGTTGATATACTCTGTATATAATATGTAATCTTATACTACTACTAATAAAAAGACACACAGGCAAGACTGCCCTTAAAATAAAAAAAAAATAAAAAAAAAATAAAAAAAACAAAAAAAAACAAAAAAAAAAAAATAGTTAAAAAAAAAAAAAAAGCAGTGAAGTTTACCTATTGCAACGAAGCTGCTCGCTTCATGGCAGCGAAATTCCACAACCAAACTCCAAGCTGACAAAATCATGCAACTATAATGACTCCTAATACAACAGTTCCAAGAATGACTCTAGCAACGAAATAAGTGCATAAAACAAGAAAAAAATTGTTAGCTAATCAGAAAGAAAAAAAAGAACAAGAAACAAACATGACAAAGATTACTTTACAGCAACAAAGGACATTCCATTCACACCACACAGACTCCAAAAATTGTACTGACTATGATGACCTCAAAAATGATGACTTTAAGATCGACTCCAGCGAAGACTTCAGCAAAAACTCCAATGACGAAATGAATTAGAAAAGAGAAAAAAAAATTGGTAGTTAAGAAAAAAAAAACACAGAAAAGACAATATCCATCCACTAGGTCTATTTCGTCAAATTATATATGAAAAGCAATGATGCCAAAATCTATAACCAGAAAATATAGTACCCACCTAAAGGCCATACATCTGACTACTGATGACACCAGAAATCTGTCAAAGAGAGAAAGTTAGTAAGAAGCAATAGGACTACTGAAAGAGAAAAAAAAGTCAAAGAACTGGAAAAGACTACATATCTAAAAAGCCCATTTATCCCAACCTCATAGGCAGATATTCATTTGATTGGCTAATAAATTCAATTTAATTTTACATTATTTATATAGTTTAGAGTACTTTTTAAAAAAATGAAAACCAACTATAATAAAGTAAAAAAACGATATAGAAGGTTTCATTAGAACTGTAGAACACTATAGTCAAAAATAAGATCTAATTATCGTCCGTTTAAAAAAATTAGCTTAATAATAAGTTGATTTTATTGGGTCATTATTATACTAACTTGTTTAAATGGATTAGAATTGGATCTTATTTTTGACTATGGAGTTCTACAGTTTTAATGAAACCTTCTATACAGCCTTTTTTATTTTATTATGATTAGTTTTCATCTTTTTTAAAAAGTACTCTAAACTGTATAAAATGTAAAATTAAATTGAATTTATTAGCCAATTAGACAAACTTCTGCCTGAGTCCCAACTACGAGCCGAAAATGATAACGCCAGAAGCCTGTCAAAGAGAGAATAAACAATGAAACTAAGAATAATGCCCATATGAAAAGTTCAATAATTTCAACCATGCACCAAAAAAGATGCAGAAACCTATCAAAAAAGCTGGTATGAGTTAATAAAGCCAAGATTATACAAGGATGAACAATAAAAAAAAAAACCTTCAAACAAAAGAACAATACCCACCCAAAAGGTCCATTCGCTCATGCTTTTGCAATCACTAATCCACCCACTTCAATTAAATAGCAACAAGTTCACACTATGAAAACTCCGAAAATGACGACAACGATCAATTTCAGCAAACAGCATGTAGAAGAAAAAAGAAATGGTTAAAAAAAAAAATTCTGCCTGAACGACTTTTACAAAGGTGACAACTCCGCAACAATAACAGCAACGAAGAGTTTACTCCACAGCAATTCCAAAATGACACCAATAACACAATTACACCAAGAAAAAATAAAGACGTTAAAAAAGAAAAAAAAGTTTATATAACTTATTAATACCTAATTAACTCATTCACTTACCTAAATTTGCTCTTATAAGCAAAGTTTTTAAAGATACTGATCTATACTGATCTTTTTTTACAGAAGAAATGAGAGAGTTAAAGAACATTATGATATGCATTAAAAAAAATTTATTATGTAAAACTATGAATTGCCAATTAACGATGTGGTTTTTTATAGTAAAGGTTACTTTAAAAAAATTTTTTATGTTGTGTAACTCAGTAATCTTCAAGCCAATCAAATCGAATGTCTATCATGCTAATCAAAGGTCAGCCTCATGTAATGATTGGATGAGTGCTTTATCATCTGTAGGTAAGTACTATTCTCTTCTTCTCTTAAGTCTTTCCTTCCACCTATTTGTCTTTACTAATTCCTTTCTTCTGTGTCTTCTCTTGTATGCCCCAATCTGGGATTTCACTATGTTGATTCAGTGTTGGAACTCTTCTATTATGGTAATGGCTTTATAGTCACATGACTTGCGGTGAATGATCAACAATGGGTTTAGCTTATTGAGGTGGATGGGTTTTATTAGCAATGGTCACTGGAGTCTTATAAGACAATACTTGCACTTTTCTTAAAGTCGACTAAGTAGTTTGTGCTTTGCAGTTTGTAGTTACTTTATTATCCTTTTATTATTTCTATCTAAATCCTATCTAAATCCATCCTCACAATAGATAGTAGGTATAACCTAATAAATATGAAAAAAAGTAGTTAGGCAGGGGTTGAGACACATGTAGTGAGTATATATAGCATTAACTATAATCAAGTTTGATTGCAAATCTGAGTGCATAGTTAAAATTATTGTATTGTGTAAAGTTGTATTAATAGATGTATTTTAAAAAAAAATTAAGTGTTTGTGGATGTGGAAGTAGAAATAGATTTAGACATACTAGCCATTGGTTATAGCATGAGTCCGAGTCATAAATTAGTTCTTGTGATACTTTCTTGATGTTTGATGATGAAATGGGATTCAAGAAAGTAGAAGATTCGCTCACTGTATACTTAGCTCTCACAGTTGTAAAGAGTGCTATAGCCTGCTCTGTACATTGGGTCTGGTCATCATTAACTTGGTTTTCCATATAAATAGACTTAACCACCTGTCCACTTACATCATTCTTTTCTGAAAATAGCCTATGTTTAATAGGGATATTATAATTCAAAAATAATAGCTGCATTTATAAGTTCTACAGAAGATTCAATTAAAAAAAGTTGTGGCAGTGAGTAGATGAAGGAGTATCTTGGCTAAGAGTTTCAGTATAGGATAGATTTACATCAGTTTTGGTTTCATTTTTAGAAGGTTTTGGATTAAAAAAGAGATCATCTTTAAATTTTTTAAGAGAATGAAATTTAATTTTGAATTTTTCTTGAAGTAGTTTTTGTACTTGTAGATAAATTGAAGTTTTATATATTTCAAAAATCTCTGGAATTGAGATAGTTGGTTGTTTAAGAATATGAAAGTAAGTAATTATTCTAGCAAGAAAATGTGTGTTGACTGGCTTGCTTGTAATTTCAATAATAGCTTGGTGTTTATTAAGGTTGTTAATTTCATTATTTTCTACAGCTGCTCTAAGAAAAGCACAAAAATAAGAGTAAAAATAAAAACTATGCTGTTTGTAGTTTTCTACAGTGTTGTTGTTTTTAGTGAATTCTTCTTCTGCTTCATCAGCAAGTTTGTAAAGCAAAGGTAGAGGTATGGCATTGAGAAAGCTAGCTTGGTGTTTTTGATCTTTGTTGAAGATGGTAAAGTCAAATCAGGATTAATCCACCTAGTTGTGTTTTTGTTAGTGGAAGGAGCAGAGTATTTTTCAAATAATTTATCAAAGAAATCTGTTGATAAGTTTTCAAAATTGTGTTCAGTATCTGAAGGAAGAACAGTGTAAGGATTATCTTTGCTATATGAGCAAATGTGAATGTGAAATAGAGCAGCTTTGGTACAAAGTAGAGAGCATTCCTATAAAGAGTCAATTGAGGTAATTTTAAAGTCAGATAGGAGCAGACTTTTGCATGACTCTGCAAGTTTGATAGCAATTTCATATTTGATATAATTGAAGGTTTTAGTTTTAATGTTATTAACAAATTGTTTCTTATAATTTGCAAAGAAGGGTTTAAACCATAATTCGGAATTAGGTCTAAATTTCTTAAATGAAGGATGCAAAAAATTTGAAGAAAATCCTGTTTAGGAATATTAAAAGATACATTGATATTGTATTTTTCATTATTTTGTATTTTGAAAAGAGGTTGGTTAATGACATCTTCACTAATAAAATAGTTTAAGGAAAAGTATATTGGTAGTATATTAACTGTTTTGGCAAATTTTGAAAGGTCGATTGTTTGGTATTTATCTTGAAGATAAAGATGAATTCTAGCTAAATTTATCACTATTTGGAAACAATTTTGTAGTATATATGGAGGAATAGATTTGTATAAAGAAAGGATTTTAGCATAATTAAGTTTGGTAAAAAAGAGTAGTGGTAAATTTGTGAAGTAGAACTTTGAGAATTGAATGTAAGATATCAAATAGAATAGTGACTGATATATTAATAGTTGGGTTATATTGATAAATAATATCTGTAAGAAACTTGAGTTGGATTTTAGCCAAAGTTTTAATAAAATATTTAAAGAGACTGGTTTCTTTTTAGTTGCAGGTTTAGTAACTTTTCCTGATACAAAATTGATAAGATAAAATTTAATAAATTCAAAAATTTGTTGAGATAATAGTGTATTAAAGTTAGTAAATAGTTCTACTTTGTCGGTAATAGAAAATTTTTCAGACCAATCAAGAAGGTTTTTTTGAGTTTGTTGTAGGATTTTGAGTTTATTTTGTTTAGTAACTTTTTTTTTTTTAAGTAGTTGAAGAAATTGTTTAAAGATTTTGATTTTTTCAACTTTATCGATAAAAGCAAATTTGGCTGTATAGAATATTGTATGTTGCAGTTGATTGAGAGGTTGGGTTTAAGTTGCAAATTTCAATTTGAGATTTGAAATACAGGCAGAATGAGCAGAAAATCATATTAAATTTTAGCAGATGAGTCAAGAGAATATTTATCATTACTGAGAAAAACATATGAAATATTGGATTTGTGACAAATGATACAGATATGAGTATGTTGTATATAAGCTTTAATAGCTATAGTATTGGGTTTGAGGTTTGTAATAGTAGAAGAAGTAGCTTTAGATGAATTGTCATAATTAAAAGAGAATGATAGAATTTTGATAACAGGTGACTAAGGAATAGTATCTTTGGTTTTCTTAAATTAGTTTGAAGTTATATTCATAAGAATAGCAGAGCCAAAAGTTAGAGAAAAAGGTGTTGTAGATCTTGGCAGGAGTTGGTAATGATGAGAAGTAAATAAGATATAATAAGTTTTACAAAGACATAGAACAACAGAAGGTTGATGTAGTGCTTTAAAATAATAAATTTTGTTTTTTTTATGACATTCAGTTAAATGAATAGCAAATTGGATAGGGTTAATTTGTTGTAGATTGTTTTCTTTAACCATGGCACCAAAATGATCACTATACTTGTCTAAAAAATAATCTAAATCATATTGGTCTAGTTCTTGACTAATAGATATAGACATGATTGCTTCAGATTTTAATATAGATTAGATATATGGATTCTTGAATTAAAATAGATTTAAATGATATAGAGTGTGACAAATAAGAGGTGTGCCAGATAAAAGAGTGTGACAGATAAAGGGTGTGACAAATAAGGGATGTGACAAATAAGTAAATGTGATATATAAGAGGGGTGACAAATAGAAAAGTGTTACAAATACAGTCTTCCTCCTCTATAATCACCTCCTTTATAATCACAACTCCTATATTATCACGCAAAGTTTTGACCCAAAAATTTTTTATAAAAAAAACCTCTATATAATCACAAATAAAGTATAATCACTATCACACTATATAATAAAAATAAAATATATTTATATATATATTATCCCTTTATAAAATCACATTTCAATTAAATAATAGCATACTATATATATTGATATATATATGTACAAATGCATAGAAAATACTTAATTTAAAAACTTTAAAATAACATAGTTTACTATCTTTAGATAATTAATTTTGTGATTTATTTATTTTTTCACTTTAATAAAAGATAACTTAGCAGAGTTTAACCCAATTAGAGTCTACTATTCCTACTTTAACATTTCACTCTAATTATCCCCCCTCCCGATAAGTCAAATTCACATAAAATTAGTAGTCTAATTCAGTGATCCTAACTTAGAGCTTCGTGACATAATCTAGAGCTCTATTTGACCCTAATAACTCAGACCAAGTCTTTCACTCCTCTTTCGTAGCCTTCCAATATTAGGTTTAGATAGAGTTTGATTGTTTAGTGTATTGATCCAAGATAGTAGTTGTGTTGGTTGATATCTGTATTACCTATCTCTATAAAAAAAGCTTGTACAGTTATTGTAGGCATTGTTCAAAACAATGTTCGGAATGGAGTCGATTTTCTGAACAGGGTTAATGTTTGTACTGTTTTCATATCGATGTTTGTATGGAATGTAAAAAATAAAAATTTTTTAATTGAAAATTATCATATAAAAACATATAAAAAATGCATTCATTCAATAAACAGCCTTTAAATGCTCGAAACGAAGTCGATTTCTAAACAAAAAATCAAATATTTTCAGAATTTTCTGAATAATTCCAAGAGATTCTTTTTTATAGGACATATTTTGTGATTCCAGATCAGTCATCCACACTCATAACATGCATCTAATATAGCAATAAAATTGTGAATATGCACATTTTTTATGCCAAATATACTAGATGCATATGTAAGATCACAAGTCAGACTTGGAGCTAAACTTAATAAAGACTCGACTTTTGGAGTCAAGTCAAACTGGACTGAACCTTTCATATTCATAGATTCAGAGCATCGCGTTAGCATAAATATAGAAATTTAGTAAAGATTGATATATAATGGTTTTGCATCCTTTATACATATAACATATACACAGCTAAGAAAATAATGCAAGCAAAATGATTATGAATGTGTCTTAAAATAATAAATTGTATAAGTAGAAATGCTAGTTCTTTGAAGTTACTGTTTAACCGATACATATGCCAGAGCATTTGACAACCTTTCACATATATTATTGTTAAGTCTAAACAAAAACTTGACTAATAAATAGGTACAACCTTTCACTTATATCTTTTACTATAGCTAAATAAGATGCCAATTTTTAAATTATCAACCGTAACATAATTTTCCAAAGTATGATATGTAACTTTAACAAAATATAATACCACATTCAGAAATTAATAACAGTATATGCTTTATTTCAATAATACTATCGTGAACTACATTTTATAGACTGTATACAGTATAATGTTTATATTTATTTAATGTGCAAATTTTAGTTTATTTATTTTAGATATGTATTTATTCTTCATATAACTAATATATACAATTTACTATATAACAATGGTAAAACTATTTAATAACTTAGTTTTAATAATCATCAGAACTATCGTAGTTATCAGAAAACTCATGATAATAAGACAAATTATTGTCGTCAAAGAAATCATCGTCACAGAAAAATTGTTCCCTGAAAAATCATTACCATCAGAAAATTATTGCCACCAAAAAAATTATCATTATCAGGAAAAACATTACCATCATCAAAAAATCTTATTTCATTAAAAAAATTATTATTAATAGACATACTTTGATCTGCTGTTTTAAAAAAATCTGTAATAGGTTTTTGATTCATAGACTCAGTAATTTTTTGCTTCATTAATGTTAAGTATTTACGAAATACTTTTAAATCATTATTATTGAAAAAGAAATCATCACACATTTGTTGTTCAGCAAACAATATAAAACTTTTCAACCCACTTATTCCTTCAGCAGCAGTGATTTTTGGCGGTTCTTTGTCAGAATCATCTGAATCACCCTGCTCGTACTCCAATTGTTCTGCTAATACAGTTTCAACAATCTGGGTATCATTAAGTGTTTCTTCTGTAGGAATATGAGTTTGATTAACTTCTCTATATGCATCTATTTCTCGCGCAACTGTATCTTCAGTAAGATCAACCACTAATTTATATATTTCACTTTCCTCACGTTCAATTGATTCTAAGCATGTATTTTGTGCAAGTTCAACATCTTCATTTGATACCAAGAGTAAAATACCAGTCTTCATCCAACAATTTGTCATTGTTAACTCTTCCACTTCATCTTACAAAGCTGCTACATAATCAATGGCTTTCTTAATATTTAATTTATTTCTAACAGAAAATAATAAATTTTAATTTATAAAAAATTACATATAATTTTTGAATATGCAATACTTACTCAGAATCTCGAATGTCTAGTCTTCTCTCAAATTGATCTAAGATATGTTGAATATATTTTTTTTGATATTTTGACTTGAAGTATTTAATAATTCCCGCATCCATAGGTTGAAGATGCGAGGTAGTAAGAGCAGGTAAAAATTGAATTTTAATATTTGTGAGATTATAATCAGATAAATTAGGAAGTGTATAAACACTCACACGGCCTCTGCCACACTTGCCTTTACTTTGTCAAACAGTATTACGATTATTATTACGACCACGACCACGACTATGAATAAGACCATGACCACAGCCATAACCACGACCACGACCACTTCTATTTCCAGAATGCAGCTCCTCAGAATTACTATGACTAGACTCTTTATCAGATGAATATGAATTTGGATCATAATGACTTGTCGCGTTATCAAGTAAAAGCAAAATTTTTCGATTTTCACGTTGGAATTGGCTGTCAAGATCTTTCAACTATTCTAAAAATATATCACTTCGCATTCATGCCTTTGAGTTAGCACGATATATAACAGGTAGTGTAGAATGATTTATTCCAGATAATGCCCATGGTTCAATTGAAGATTCTATTACAAGAGGCTTTAATTTTTCGGTACCAGTAGCATTACATGCTAAAAGAATAGTAATACGAGTACGATCCTAAGTTTATTAACAATAAAAAAGGTTTAGTTTAATGAATAATTTTTAATCAAATTTTACAATAAAAAACAAACTATTATTAAATTAATAAAAATTACTTTCCTTTTTCCATCCTGAACGGGGTCGAAATGCCAACGTTTGGTTGGGTGCCATTCGAAAAAACAGACCCGTTTCATCCACATTAAAAACATTATTTAATGCATATTCTTGGATGATATTTTGTAAATTGCATTGGAAATTCTGGAAGGTCACTTGTTGACACACTACCAGCCTCCCCATGTAATTGAAATTTTCGCAAACTATTGCGTTTTTTAAATTGCCTTATCCAACTATTAGAGAATTTTATTTCATTATCAGGTAGTGATAAAGCTTTAAAAAAATAAGCAGCCTTCTCTTTAATAATCGCCTCAGTTAAAAATAACACATTATTGACAACCTGTTCAATCTATAACTTCATGGCTTGGTCCAGCAAAGGAAATTTTACTTTTCTATATCGAAAAGTACTTGATGTTATCTTATTTTCACTAACGGCTAACCATTATTTTTCTTTTTGAGAATTTTAGAGATGGATGAACGATCAAGATTACGTTGTGAATCTTGAGCATTAAAGTACTCTGCGATTTGTGTTTGTGTTTTATTAAGATTTTTTACATGATATTTGCAAATTTCATTTTTTAGACTATCACTAACTGCCGTGCATGTCTTTTTAGTAGATTGATTGGATATCATAATTGTAATAACAAAAAAACCAGGGTGGCCAAGAAATATGAAGGATATATTCCTCTTATATATGTTAAAGTAATTCTATATATTTTTAATGTCATTAAAAAGTTTTACAGTATTTTGCTTTCATAAATACACACAAAAAAGGCAGATCATGCCTTTGTGAATAGTGAAGGTTTTTAATAATTTAGAAAATAAGGTTAGCAGATAATTTCTCGAAACTGGTGAGAATCGATTTGTTCATTTATTACATCATATCAGTCAGTTCTCAATCTATTGTTTATTGATTAAATAAATACATTGGTGATTAAATAAATGTATCAAGTGTTGGAAAATAGGAATTATTAACATGTTTGTATGCTCACTTAAATATAACTTGTAGGATACATATTAATCAGCTTGCCAAAAATATACAAGCAATTGTTAGTGTCAATACGAAGGAAAGATTTTTTTTTTCATCTTAATTACATATTTTAATTATGTATTTAAATAATTACATATTTATAACCTTACAATTAGATACGCATAATAGTATTTTTTTTTCATGCTCAAATACGCTACTAACTTGTTCTTCTATAGCTGTTTAACCCAATTCTTAATTGTTATAAATATAATTTGATAATGAGAGCCATTTAATCTGGTTTAGAATCCAGCATTTTAAATTATGCTTTCTGAAAATTCTTGAAAAATCTGATCAAAATAAGACATGTACGGCTAATTTCTAATTCAACAGTAATACGATAATTCAAATTTTTGCATCAGACTACATTTGAAAAAATTTTAAAAACCAGATACAGGTTTTCTCTTAGACTTAATTATGAAAAGAGATTAAATGAGAATTACTTACACTTATGAATGATATTAATTTATATTGTAAGAAAAAGGCACTCAAACCTATCAATTAACAAATCTGTTAATACAATAAAGTGTTAAAAAATTTTTTATTAATTAATACATATGTTTAGATCAAATATGTAGTTTGTTCTTTTTTATGTTTAGAATTCTCATGTACGCTGTAAAAGTGAAACTGATCCGGAATCTCAAAAATATGGTTTCACGTATATTAACATATACTAAAACTATTTAAAACAATGGGGAGTTTCAAAGTTAACAAATAAGTGATGCATTTAGAAAATAAATAGGATTTTTTCAATAGCATTTTTACTATATTGAATTATAAATTGGAAAAATAAAATAAGATTTTCAGATATTAACTTTAAAACCCCCTATTACTCTAAACTATTTAATATCTGTTTAAACCCTAATAATAGAAGGCACAAAAGAGATGTGGAAAGACTTGGTCCGAGTTACTAGGGTTAATTAGAGCTTTAGATTTCATCACAAGTTATTTAGAAATCACAGGATTATACAATTAACATATTGGGAGAAATTAGAGTAAATACTTATATAAATAAGTATTTGAACTCTACTGAGTTCTACTCAAAACTGAACCGAGTTTCACTCTACTTAACTCTATCTGAGTCTCTCTTTATCGAAGTGAAAAATATGGGTCTTATATACTTTTTGATCTTCACTGTGTATAGAAATACTTTTTACTAATGTCTGCTATTCTAATATGTATCACAAACACCTGGGCCACTTAACAATATGTATATAAATATATTATAAGCTTTTTATAACATATAAACTAAATAAATTACCCTATTTGATATCAGGAATATATTTTTATATTTTGTAAAATTTAAACCATTATCTTTTTTTTATATATTTTATATTTACTCCTATATATTCACATAATATAAATTATATATTAAGTGTGATTATATATGGTAGATTTTATATAATCACATTCATTTATAATCATGGTTTTGTGTGATACAAACCAGGTGATTATAGAGGAGGAAGACTGTAGTATGTAACACTTTTGTAGATCTATTTGTAAATTAAGAGCAACGTTAAACAAATTTGTATAAATTTAAAAAGAATACAAATATATAATTAGATTTTGTTAAAAATAGATTGTGTAATATGGATTAGTAATCCTGTTTGGGTGAGTTTGAACAGAAGTAGGCTACAGAAAACCTCCCAAAAAATAAAAAATAAAAAAATAATAAAAAATAATAAATTTTTGCAAGAGGGTTCAAGTATTTTATTAATAAGTCAATCAAATTTGGTTCAACTTTGATAAATAATATATAAAAATGAAGCTATTAATGAGCTCTTTCTGTTTGTTCTAATAAGCAAGAGCAGTATACTTAATAAATTTCTATGATAAAGTAGATAGAAGAGATATAGTATTTAATTATTATATCTCTGTGGATAAGGAATTTAGAGATATAAAACTTGGTTGCCTAAGTGTAAAATTATACCAGGAACAATTTTACTTAGATGTTCAGAAGTAGTTTACTTAATAAAATATTGAGTTATAATCAGGTTTGTGCTGTAGAAAGTTGGTATAAGGAATTGTTAGAAAGAGTTCATAATTTGTGGCTTTATTATTAATTTTACAATATTGCCAATATCATAAAGGATAAAACAATTTCAAATTATAATTAAATTGTCTTTAAATTTTATAATAGATTAATATAAATTAGTTTAACAGTTTTCTATAATGTTTTTAAAAATATTGTTTATTATTTTTACTAAAATTTAAAATTTTAACTTATTTGATCAGATTATATTAAGTAATCTTTGATGATTTAATTTTTATATTTTTTATAAAACTATATTTTTTGATAATTATTATTTAGATAAAATTTTATTTTATTTCTGATACTAAACTATAGCTTCAAAGTATCTAATAAATAATAAATATAAAAATTTCAATATTTTTGTTTATTTTGAAATAAGTTTTCATTTTAATAATTGTAAAATAATAATAAAAAATAATAATATTTATTATTTTTTTAATTTAGTTTATTTAATAAAATTAAACAACTAAACTTTTTTTTATTTATTTATATAATATCAAGTAGGAAAAATAAAGATACATTTATATATAAATTAAATATAAATGTATAACTAAAATATTATTTCTAAACTACACTATTGTTGTTATATGCTACATTATCTAGTATGATATTATCCTTTAGTTTTCTGTTTTAGTTAAGTTAATTGACATGAACTTAACTACAGAGAGAGTAAAAAGAACCCTTAAGATTATTTAATTAGTAAAAACAGATATATATAATAAAGTTTTGAGTAAGAGGTTTAGAGATAAAGAGATCTATATTAGTATTAAAAATGTAAATAATATTGTTAAAGTTTGTAAATTGAGGAGTAGATAATCAGATATTGTTTTTTTTTTTAGTAAAGAATGTAATTTCTTGTAATAATTCTTATTCATATTGTTTAGTATTACGAGTTTGCCAGATAGTAGAGTTAAACCAAATAAGTAATAAGTTAGATAAGAAAATAAGAAAATTATTAGTTAGTTTTTTTTAGAATAAGTTGAAGTTGGTTATATTAATTAAAGGTTATTGTACCCTAAATGAGTAATAGTATTGTATTATATATATTTAGATTAAGA